AGTGATGTTTGCCCACACTCATGTTACCCTGTAGAAAGATGCCAAAGTGATGTTTGCCCGCACTCATGTTACCCTGTAGAATGAGCTCCCCGAATGCCTGCCACCATCGCCTCCTTCCCCAGGAGGAGTCTCAGTCCCACCCGCCTCTCCAGGAGGCTCCCCAAGATCAGCAAGTGTGCCTGAACCGGCCTCCTCTTCAAGTACTGCCTCTGCCTCTGCCCTGAGACCCGGAGCACGTGAGATTTTGTGTGTGCCCTGCAAGGGTGTGGAGCCCGTGTTCCCTACAATCGCCTGGATCTTCCGAATGCGAAACCTGCCGGTTCTCAAAGCCAGGTGTTCTGGGGCCTCATTTTCCTGCCCAGGACCCCCAGGCTGCGCAGTCCAAGCTGGAGCTTGGACCCCTTGCTCCTTAGGGAGGGCCTCTGCAATTGTGATTACCCCCCAATTGCTTGTTGCTGGCCTGAGAATATGGGTTCTGACTTTACTACATCTCTGTTCTTCTTACCCGTCTCATTGTGGTCCCCTCTTTGTGTCTTTAATTGTGTAAAATCTTCTCAGCTTATCCTGAGGTTGTTCTCATATGTAACTGATCTACCATGCTAAGTCTCTTCAGTCGTGTCCAACTCTTTGCAACCCAAGGACTGTAGCCCTCCAGGCTTCTCTGTCCATGGGATTCTCCAGGCAAGAACACTGGAGTGGGTTGCCATGCCCTCCTCCAGGGGATCTTCCTGGCACCCGGGATTGAACTGAATCTCTTGCATCTCCTGCATTGGCAGGCGGGTTCTTTACCACGAGCACCATCTGGGTAGCCCAACTTCTCTGTGCTGTGTTTTGTTGATCAGTCAGGTCTGACTCTTTGCAGCTCCATGGACTATAGCCTGCCAGGCTTCTCTGTCCATGGGATTCTTCAGGCAAGAATACTGGAGTGGGTTGCTCTTCCCAACCTAGGGATCCAACCCAGATCCCCCCCACTGCAGCCGGATTCTTTACCATCTGAGCCAGCAAGGAAGCCCAAGAATACTGGAGTGGGTAGCCTATTCCTTCTCCAGGGAATCTTCCCAACCCAGGAATTGAACAGGGTCTCCCGAACTGCAGGGAGATTCTTTACCATCTGAGCCACCAGGGAAGGCCCAAGTGCTCTATAAGTGGTTGTAATTTTGGGGTGTCCATGGGAGAAGAAGAGTTTGTTTATGTTTAGTTGCTAAGTCCTGTCTGACTATTTTGTGACCCCATGGACTGTCGCCCACCAGGCTCCTCTGTCCATAGATTTCCCAGGTAAGAATACTGGAGTGGGTTGTCATTTCCTACTCCAGGGGATCTTCCTGGCCCAGGGATCAAACTGGAATCTCTTGCATCTCCTACATTGGCTGGTGGATTCTTTACCACTATACTCTTAATATCCAAAATATCTACAAATTCTGTAGTAATGTCAACTCTTTCATTCCTGATGTTGAAATTTTGTGCTTTATTAATTTTATTGATCTTGTTAAAGAATGGGCTCCTTAGCCAATTTCAATGCATTCTGTAAAATTGCAAGTGCACTCTGGCATCTTCCAGTAAATATGTGCAGCTGAACTCTAAACAAAAGAGCCTCTAAAAGCTGAAAGGACAGAGTATCTGATGCTTCCTTCTTGGCTGTATTATGAAGAATAATAATAAGCAATAAGCTGATGTTCTAAATAATTTATAAACATTTATATTTACCTTCAAATACTGCTAACAACATGTCAGGATTAGTCTTTACATCTTGAACTGCTTGCCACGGCATTACAAATGGTTCTATGTTAACAATTCTTGAAGGATTGGCATTAGATGGATCGTAAAATTTTGAAGGGAGAATGTTGAATTCAATAAGATGTATGTAGGCCTGCCATGCCAAACATCGATCACTTGTTTTAAGGTATTCAGCTACTATTCCATAAAGTGAAACAAATTTATGTATTACAAAAAAAAAAAAAAAAAAGAATGGGCTCCTTGGTTTCATTGATTTACTCTTATTTTGTTGTTTTTCTATCTCAGTAATTTATATTCTGACCTTCATTAATTTCTTCTGCCTTTGAGTTTAAGTTGCTGTTCTTTGTTTTCAATTTTCTTAATCAGTTCAGTTCAGTTCAGTCACTCACTTTTGTCCAACTCTTTGCGACCCCATGGATTGCAGCACGCCAGGCTTCCCTATCCATCACTAACTCCTGGAGCTTGCTCAAATTCATGTCCATTGAGTCAGTGATGCCACCCAACCATCTCATCCTCTGTCGTCCCCTTCTCGTCCAGCCTTCAATCTTTCCCAGCGTCAAGGTCTTTTCAAATGAGTCAGTTCTTCACATCAGGTGGCCTGAGGATTGGAGTTTCAGCTTCAGCATCAGTCCTTCCAATGAATATTCAGGACTGATTTCCTTTCAGGACTGGCTGGATCTCCTTGCAGTCCAAGGGACTCTCAAGAGTTTTCTCCAACACCACAGTTCAAAAGCATCAATTCTTTGGCGCTCAGCTTTCTTCACAGTCCAACTCTCACATCCATACACAACCACTGGAAAAACCATAGCCTTGACCAGACGGACCTTTGTTGGCAAAGTAATGTCTCTGCTTTTTAATAGGCTGTCTAGGTTGGCTATAACTTTTCTTCCAAGGAGCAAACATCTTTTAATTTCATGGCTGCAATCACCATCTGCAGTGATTTTGGAGCCCAAAAAAGTAAAGTCTGTCACTGTTTCCCCATCTATTTGCCATGAAGTGATGGGACCAGATACCATGATCTTAGTTTTCTGAATGTTGAGTTTTAAGCCAACATTTGCACTCTTCTTTCACTTTCATCAGGAGGCTCTTTAGTTCTTCTTCACTTTCTGCCATAAGGGTGGTGTCATCTGCATATCTGAGGTTATGGATATTTCTCCTGGCAGTCTTGATCCCAGCTTGTGCTTCATCCAGTCCACCCTAAAGGAGATCAGTCCTGGGTGTTCATTGGAAGGACTGATGCTGAAGCTGAAACTCCAATACTTTGGCCACATGATGCAAAGAGTTGACTCCCTGGAAAAGACCCTGATGCTGGGAGGGATTGAGGGCAGGAGGAGAAGGGGGCGACAGAGGATGAGATGGCTAGATGGCATCACTGACTCAATGGACATGGGTTTGAGTAAACTCCGGGAGTTGGTGATGGACGGGGAGGCCTGGCGTGCTGTGATTCATGGGGTTGCAAAGAGTCAGACACGACTGAGCGACTGAACTGAACTGAAGTGAACTGAATAAAATACATACTGAGGATTGTAATGTTCTCTTGGTTAATTTGCCCTTTCAGAATTGTAAAATGATCATTTTTACCTCCAACATTTCTTATCCTGAAATCAAGTTTTTCTAATCTTAACATAGCCACTTCAACTTTCCTTCCATTTGTATCATGATGTTATATCCTCTTCCATTCCATTATTTTGAAACTATGTCTACTTATACATATATAGGTCTTATTTATATATACAGTATGACTGTCCTTGCTTTTTAAGTGGTTTGTTTAGAATATTTGCATTTAATGTGGTAGTTAATATAGTTAAATTATAACCTATCATTTTGCTATTTGATTTCTATTTGTTTCATTTTTTCTTTATTCTCTTTTCTTTTGTCTATCTTTATTTGGATTGGGTATTTTTTGTTTTTGTTATATTTTTGTTGACATTAGCTATACATTTTTGTACATAATTGCTTAGGGTTATTAGTATACCTACTTAACTTATTAGTTTGATTTCCAATGATATGATAGCATGCTGAGTGTAGTATAAGAGCCCTGTAATAGTATATTTTCATTTACCCTCTCCTGCCCTTTGTGGTTTTGTTATGTACATTTTACTTTGACATATGTCAAGAATCCCACCATATCTCATTATTTTTTGTTCAGTACTCAATTATCTTCTAGATAAATTTAAATAAATAATAAGGAAAATTTTATACATTCACTTACTTAGTTACCATTGTTGGTGATCTTCATTCTTTTGGGTAGAATAATATTTTCACTCAATACCATTTTCTATCTGTTCAAGTACATTCTTTAACTATTTTTGTGTTTTGGTACCACAGATATGCTGGTGATGTGATCGGTTCATCAACTTTTATATTTCTCAAAGAGTCTTTGCTTTTATTTTTGAAATATGTTTCCTATGTATAGAATTCTAGACAATCTTCTTTTTTACATTTCAACATTTTAATGGTGCTTTTTTTCTTTTATTGGCTTCAGTGAAGTATCTATTGTCCTCTCATCTTTGGTCTTCTGTAGGTAACACGCTTTCTTTTCTCTTGATGTTTTCAATATTTTCATCTGCTATTGGTTTTGAGAAATTTGAGTATGATGCTCCTTGCTATAGTTTTCTTCATGCTTTGTGCATGAGTTTTTTTGAAACTTCTTCTATATATGCGGGTTTATAGTTTTCACCAAGCTGAAAAAGGGTTCATCCGTTGTTTCCTTACATTTTTTCCCCACTCATTCCTTTCTGGGGATCCCAATTTAATACATGCTAAGGAGTGATGTCGCCAAAATGATGAGTAGAAGACTCCAGCCACTGTTCTCCAACAGAAACCAGCCGTTAGACAGCGGTCCATGAACAAAAACTCCTCCGGGAGAGCTCAGGAGCTCACGTGGGGCACCTCGGCGGTAGTGAAACAGAAATCTGGGGATAACTGCACAGAAAGGGGAGGAAGCGACAGCTTCACGTTGCTCACATCGCCCCTCCTCCGGACTGAAGCTGGTTAGTGCTGAGAGGGAACTCCCCGGCTCAGAAGAGTGCCCCTTGCCAGGAAAGGCAGAGAAGGGTGCCTGACCAGCTTCCCCAGCCTCCTGGGGGCACTTCCTGGGGGACCCTCTTTGGACCCACCCCACCCAGAGACCCAGCGAAGCTGAGATGAATAGCAGACAGCTGGGAGCAGGAAAAGGGCAGTGGCAACCAGTAAGAGGCACGTGGTGGGAGGGACCACGGTTCCCAGGGGTGTCCTATACAGGGTTTCCCAGTGGGTTTTGCAGCTCAAGAAACCAGAGGCTGGCACAGCCACCAACCCCCCCTTCCGCCCCCCGCAGACTTCACCACGGATGATTCTTTCCTATACGTTTCATCTTCGCAGACACCAGCAGCTTGAATATCTCCCTCCTCCCCCCTTCCCGCCCTGAGGCTTCCCCCTGGAGCGCAGGATCCACTCTGGCAGTCAACCCTGACGTCTGCAGCGGCTCGGGGGGCAAGACACACCCTGGATCGCTGCAGCGGACCCCACCGCGGTGTGCACACAGTGGGCCCGCACCGCCCGCTGCGCACCTGCACGCCACTGGCCTGAGCTCCATCACAGGCCACCGTGCCCTGTGTGTACCTGTGATGAGACCCTGCAATCACAGTGGAGTAGCCGACAGCCGCGACCCCCTTCCCGCAGACGGCTTGTGGACCCAGAACCAGCCTTCTCCCCCGACACTGGCATGCACTGTCGGGCTCCCCTGCAGCTAACCCATCTATCCGCGAGTTTGCCGCCCCTTGACCTTGCTCCCGAGTATGCCAGCGGGAATGCCCAGCAGTCATGGGAGTGCCTGTGGACAGCAAGGGTCCCCACAGCCGCGGAGCCTGTGCCCTCGACCAGAGCCACCGCGGCGGGCCCTCAAGCCGGTGTGTCTGCAGCCCGCCCTTGGCACTACCCAGGTGCCTGCAGCCAGGCCTGCGGCTCAGCGTGTGTGCGCCGCCATGCAGGCCACCCCGGCTGGCCGGCCTGCTCCCTAACGTGGACACAGAGTGCTTCCGAGGACCCCACCAGCTCCTGAAGCCTCTGCAGACCCCATCAGCAGTGCTCGCCAAGAACCGTGAGAGTGTCACGGTCCCCATCAGCCTGAGCTTTCCAGACCTCAGAAACTCCAGACGCAGAGGCACTACATTCTCTTGCATTTAGAGCCCTGCAGGCTTAGACCCAGGGCCACAGCAAGCTCTAGTGGATCCCTCTCCACAAACGGTCTTCATACTGAAGTCAGTCTGTAGAGACTGAATGAGGTGACTGCTTCTTCAAATGTGCAGATATCTACACAGGGCTACATGGATCACAAAGCATCAAGGGAAACACGAGATGAACAAAGAACTCAGTAAACCTTCATAACCTGATTGTTGTTGTTGTTCAGTTGCTAAGTTGTGTCCAACTCTTTGCGGCACCATGAACTGCAGCACGCCAGGCTTCCCTATCCTTCACCGTCTCCCGGAGTTTGCTCTAAGTCATGTCCACTGAGTTGGTGATGCTATCTAACCATTTCATCCTCTCCAGTCCCTTTCTCCTCCTGCCCTCAACCTTTCCCAGCATCAGGGTCTTTCCCAATGAGTTGCCTCTTCACGTCAGGTAGCCAAAGGACTGGAGCTTCAGCTTCAGCATCAGTCCTTCCAATGGGTTGATTTCCTTTTGGATTGACTGATTTGATCTCTTTGCTGTCCAAGTGACTCTTAAGAGTCTTCTCTAGCACCACAATTCAAAAGTGTCAATTCTTCGGCACTCAAACTTCTTTATGGTCCTACTCTCACATCCATACATGAATCACTGGAAAAACCATAGCTTTGACTATACAGACCTTTGTCAGCAAAGTGATATCTCTGCTTTTTAATACACTGTCTAGGTTTGTTACAGTTTTCCTTCCAAGGAGCAAGCATCTTTTAATTTCATGGCTGCAGTCACCATCTGCCGTGATTTTAGAGCCCAAGAAAATAAAATCTGTCTACTTTTTCCTCTTCTATTTGCATGAAGTCATGAGACCAGATGTCATGGTGTTAATATTTTGAATGTTGAGTTTTAAGCCAGCTTTTCCACTCTCCTCTTTCACCCTCAAAAAGAGGCTTTGTACTTCCTCTTCACTTTCTGCCATTAGGGTGGTGTCATCTGCATAACTGAGGCTGTTGATATTTCTCCCGATAATCTTGATTCCAGCTTATGAATCATCCAGCCTGGCATTTTGCATGATGTGCTCTGCATATAAGTTAAATAAGCAGGGTGACAACATACAGCCTCGACATACTCCTTTCCCAATTTGGAACCAGTCTGTTGTTCCATGTCCAGTTCTAACTGTTGCTTCCTGACCTGCATATAGGTTTCTCAAGAGGCAGGTCAGGTGGTCTGGTAGTCCCATCTCTTTCAGAATTTTTCACAGTTTATTGTGATCCACACAGTCAAAGGCTTTGGCATAGTCAATAAAGCAGAAATAGACGTTTTTCTGGAACCCTTTTGATTTTTTGATGATCCAACGGATGCTGGCAATTTGATCTCTGGTTCCTCTGCCTTTTCTAAATCCAGCTTGAACATCTGGAAGTTCACGGTTCATGTATTGCTGAAGCCTGGCTTGGAGAATTTTGAGCATTACTTTACAAGTGTGTGAGATGAGTGCAATTGTACAGTAGTTTGAGTATTCTTTGGTATTGCCTTTCTTTGGGATTGGAATGAAAATTGACCTTTTCCAGTCCTGTGGCCACTGCTGAGTTTTCCAAATTTGCTGGCATATTGAGTGCAGCACTCTCACAGCATCATCTTTCAGGATTTGAAATTGCTCAGCTGAAATTCCATCACCTCTACTAGCTTTGTTTGTAGTGATGCTTTCTAAGGCCCACTTGCCTTCACATTCCAGGATGTCTGGCTCTAGGTAAGTGATCATACCATTGTGATTATCTGGGTCTTGAAGATCTTTTTTTGTACAGTTCTTCTGATCTTTTTTTGTACAGTTCTTCTGTGTATTCTTGCCACTTCTTCTTAATATCTTCTGCTTCTGTTAGGTCTATACAATTCCTGTCCTTTATTGAGCCCATGAATGCATGAAATTTTCCCTTGGTATCTCTAATTTTCTTGAAGAGATCTCTAGTCTTTCCCATTCTGTTGTTTCCCTCTATTTCTTTGCATTGATCACTGAGGAAGGCTTTCTTATCTCTCCTGGCTATTCTTTGGAACTCTGCTTTCAAATGGGAATATCTTTCCTTTTCTCCTTTGACTTTAGCTTCTCTTTTCTCAGCTATTTGTAAGCCCTCCCGAGACAACCATTTTGCCTTTTTGCATTTCTTTTTCTTGGGGGTGGTTTTGATCCCTGCCTCTTATACAATGTCATGAACCTCCATTCATAGTTCTTCAGGCACTTTATCAGGTCTAATCCCTTAAATCTATTTCTCACTTCCACTGTATAATCATAAGGGATTTGATTTAGATTATACCCGAATGGTCTAGTGGTTTTCTCTATTTTCTTCAATTTAAGTCTGAATTTGGCAATAAGATCTGAGCCACAGTCATATCCCGGTGTTGTTTTTTCTGACTATATAGAGCTTCTCCATGTTTGGCTGCAAAGAATATAATCAATCGGATTTCAGTGTTGACCATCTGGTGATGTCCCTCTGTAGACATCTTGTGTTGTTGGAAGAGGGTGTTTGCTATGACCACTGCATTCTCTTGGTAAAACTCTATTAGCATTTGCCCTGCTTCATTCTGTACTCCAAGGCCAAATTTGCCTGTTACTCCAGCTATTTCTAGACTTTTTACTTTTGCTTTCCAGTCCCCTATAAAGAAAAGGACATCTTTTTTTAGGTGTTAGTTCTAGAAGGTCTTGTAGGTCTTCATAGAGCTGTTCAACTTTAGCTTCTTCGGCATTACTGGTTGGGGCATAGGCTTGGATTACTGTGATATTGAATGGTTTGCCTTGGGAATGAACACAGATCATTCCGTCATTTTTGAGATTGCACCCAAGTGCTACATTTTGGACTCTTTTGTTGACTATGATGGCTACTCCATTTCTTCTAAGGGATTCCTGCCCACAGTAGTAGGTATAATGGTCATCTGAGTTAAACTCACCCATTCCAGTCCATTTTAGTTTGCTGATTCCTAAAACGTCAACGTTCACTCTTGCCATGTCCTGTTTGACCACTGCCAATTTGCCTTGATTCATGGACCTAACATTCCAGGTTAGGTATTTCTCTTCATAGCATCGGACTTTACTTCCATCACCAGTCACATCCACAACTAGGTGCTGGTTTTGTTTTGGCTCCATCCCTTCATTCTTTCTGAAGTTATTTCTCCACTGATCTCCAGTAGCATATTGGGCACCTACCAACCTGGGGAGTTCATCTTTCAGTGTCCTGTCTTTTTGCCTTTTCATACTGTTCATGGGGTTCTCAAGGCAAGGATACTGAAGTGGTTTGCCATTCCCTTCTCCAGTGGACCACATTCTGTCAGACGTCTCCACCATGACCCGTCCATCTTGGGTGGCCCTACATGGCATGGCTCATAGTTTCATTGAGTTAGACAAGACTGTGGTCCTGTGATCAGATTGGTTAGTTCTCTGTGATTGTGGTTTTCATTGTTTGCCCTCTGATGCAGAAGGATAAGAGGCTTATGGAAGCTTCCTGATGGGAGAGACTGACTGAGGGGGAACCGGGTCTTGTTCTGATGGGTAGGGCCATGCTCAGTAAAGCTTTAATCCAATTTTTTGTTGATGGGTGGGGTTGTGTTCCCTCTGTTATTTACCTGGGGCCAAACTATGGTGGAGGTGATGAAGACAATGGCGACCTCCTTCCAAAGGTCCCATGCATGCACTGCTACACTCAGTGCCCCCAACCCTGCAGCAGGCCACTGCTGACCCACGCCTCCACCGGAGACTCCTGGACACCCACAGGCAAGTCTGGGTCAGTCTCTTGTGGGGTCTCTGCTCCTTTCTCCTGGGTCCTGGTGCACAAGATTCTGTCTGTGCCCGCCAAGGGTCTGTTTCCCCAGTCCTGTGTAAGTTCTGGCGGCTCTATGGTGGGTTAATGGCGACCTCCTCCAAGAGGGCTTGTGCCATACCCAGGTCTGCTGCACCCAGAGCCTCTGCCCCTGCAGCAGTCCACTGCTGACCCGCACCTCCGCAGCAGACACCCAGACACTGTTCTGGCTCAGCCTCTGGGTCCTGGTGCGCACAAGGTTTGTTTGAGCCCTCTGAGTGTCTCTGGCGGGTATGGGGTTTGATTCTAAACACGATTTCACCACTCCTATCACCCTTCTGGGGTTCCCCTCTGCCCTTGGTGGTGGGGTATCTCCTCACAGCCGCTCCAGTGCTGAGCATCTGGGAGTCAGTAGTCTGAGGCCACGGTAGACCCGACTTTGTTTGTGTTTAATCTTCCAGGGTTTATTACTTGTTACCTGTCTAACTTCTTGAAGATCACCACTTCATATATTTTTTTGTTCTGGATTTTGGCGACTATGAAGAAAAACAGCACAACGCAGGGGAGAGAAAGATCAACATGGAATAGAGTATAGAACTGGAAGGACCGCTCTGGACTCTCTCTGAGTGACAATTTGAAGAAACAAAGGAACTGAAGAAGTGAGCCATGAGGCTATCTTGGAGGAGAACATTTGAGGAGAGAAATAAGCAAATTTAAGAAGAGTGATAGGCACATGATTTATAATAGCCAGGATGTAGAAGCAACCTAAACGTCCATCAACAAGGATTGGATAAAGAAGATTTGGTACATATACAGAATGGAATATTACTCAGCCATAAATAGGAACAAAATCGTGCCATTTATGGAGCTGTGGATGGACCTAGAGACTGCCATATAGAGTGAAGTAAATCTTAAAGAGAAAAAATATATAGGATATTAATGCATATATGTGGAACCTAGTAAATGGCACAGATGATCTTATTTGGAAAGAAGAAGTAGAGACACAAATGTAGGGAATAGACACATGGATGCCAAAGGGGAAGAGGGTGAGTGGGAAGGGTTGTGAGATCTGGATTGATGTGAATGTATATACACGTATGTATACTATCGCTACTTTGCATAAAGTGGGTAAGCAGTGACAACCTGCTGTACTCCGGGAATCCTACTCAGCGCTCCATGGT